TCTAAGTTGTATGCGAAAAATTCACAATTTTCCCAATGGTTAATAAATAAGTTAGTGAATACTTTAATTCTTAAGGCTTTGCCCTTATTCCAATAAATATAATGACCAGTGGCCGCTCAAATAGCATAATTGTTACATATTCACCATTCTGTAATTAAAAAATACAAATTGCAAATAAATAATATTAAAAAAATTTTGCTATATTTTTAACTTCATATCAATAATGTGTTAATTAACAAATAATAAAATCTATTTTTATTTACAAATCATAATTTATTAATGTACTGGATAGAATGGTTCTACGACAATTGAGCGAAAAAATATAATATTATAATTGAAATAAATTATTTGCACATACATATAATTATAGAATTAATACATTTAGATTTCATATTCGTCATACTTATTGAATATAAAATTAATACATTTATACTTGCAATGAAAAATTATACGCGATACCTTTTAAATATCAAAGTGCCGGAGTATTATAATAATTGTCAACAATATTTTTTAATTTTTCGGCAGGATCATTATATTTTTTTTTTTTTATTGGACGAACGAATGCCACTATTAATTTTATGTAACTGCATATCCACTTAAATCTGTTGAATTTGAAGGGCTTTTATGAACTTCCAAATTGTTGGATTACACGACCTCAATCGACAATTGAAGCCTCTATAAATTCAACATAGGTACGACGACAATGACTCAGATAAGACAAATGATCATAAACGTAATCTTATCGAATCGTTATCGCGGACTTTTTGAATCCTAAAATATTTCACTGTAGCTTTCGCTCATATTTTGTATTCGCTCTTTTTTTTCGCTCTATGGTCGGGATACCGGATAGAATATTCATTTAAGGCTTGTTCTAAAATTTAAACATTTCTTAATGCATTAAATAGTAAGATCAAAATCGGGACACTTTTTTTTGTATTGTATTATGTAAGTTCCTAAGTATAATACACTATAATTTTAAATCTAAACATTTTCTGTTTTATTCCAAGGTCATACATCTGTAACGAATATATTTTTGAGTGAAGTTGATACTTGATAACACATTTTTCCATTCTTAGTTTTAAAGCTGAACTTTTGCTCAAACTTTTTGTTAGACGTTTTAATAAGGTTTGAAGATTTTATAAATATATAAAGGGTGGATTGAACGTGCAAAAACTTGTTTAGGACTATTTGAAACGAAGGAGAGAGTCATTACATGTCTAAGGTCGTATAGAATAATGTAATAATGACGGATTCTAAAACCCGTTTTTCCTCAAACTTGATCATAGTATTCGTATTTACTCTTGATATTCCTTTCGATTTCGTTAACCTACCTATTATTGTTTTGGAGTTTTACTTGATGCAATAAATATGAGATTTATAATTACCATACATTGTTAATAATTAAGTATTTTAGATTCTGAGTGATTTATGCATTGATTTTACAATATGTTTTTTTTTTTTAAATTCTGTTTATTTGTGTCATCACCTTGAAAATGTAATACAACGTTCCTCATGGTGGACATTTTAAAAAAAAATTGAGGGTAAATACTGAGGTTAATCCACAATAATATTTTATGAGGGTCAAAAGTTTTAAATGTTGACATTCATCAAAATCACAAAAATTGACAAATAATCGTGAATTGAAAAAATGTTCTCTTTTTATCTAATATTCATTTTAACTTTTCCTACATTTCAAAAAAAAAGTTTACTGCAAAGTCAAATTAATATTTTACGAGTGTTAGAAATTATTGGATAACCCGTAGGTAAATTATTCTCAACAGGTATAACAGTTTTCTTATTTTGTTATTCAAAATATAATAATAATAGGTACTTGAAATGTTAATTTATAGACATTTGAAATTTGAAATTTGAAAATTTTTAATTTTTTTTTAATTTATGCCAATATGACATTTAACTTTACATCGAAATCGGTCGAAATGCTTAAAAATTATATACAATGTTTCTCGTAAGTATTTTAATTCTGGTATTCTATTTATAAAGTGCCTCAGTAAACTCGAAAATTTTCAAATTATTTTGTAGTTAAAAAATTATAAAATATTAAATTCACATACCTAAGGATTAAAACAAGGATCCTCTTAAGTAGATCATTCTGTAACCTACAAATCTAAAATATGCCTTTATAAATATAGTTTATTTTAAGTTCAAATTTGGACAAAATTACATATTAAAACCAAGAAAAAACAATTTTAGTTATTTTGTTGTAATTTAAAAATATTATTCGTAGCCTCGTGGGTACTTATAAAGTAAATTTTATACTCACAATGACATTTTAAAATGCAAATTTTTCGACTAAAATTAATTTAACACACTGTAGTTCTAATGCATAAATGACTAATAGTAATATAAATTACTTTAATCACAATAATATCATGAACTATACTTAGTAATGTTATATGCTGCATGCTCTTCGCTCAAAATCGTGCTTCGTATACAATGATATTATATCATTGAATTCAAATTTAATACATCCATTACAGTGACTCCTCTAGACACCTAATGCATAGCAGAAGAGAGTGTTCATACCCGCCTTTTTTACTTTTTAATTTTTTTTTTATCGTCCACAGTGTTACGTTCTGTAAAATTGCGATTTTAAATGTACAGAATCTATCTTAAGTCCATCTTAAATCATGTGTAAAATATTCGTTTAAAACAATTTCTTATTGTGATTATTTATTTACTTTGATTTAAAATTTAAAATTTTACAAGAAACCGTTAATAATTATAGCTATTTATAATATTTGATTTACAGCAATTTTCCATAATATTCTAGTTTTTGAGAATAACTTGAATTTCTTATCTTCTGGTTGACATTAGCAACAAATTGGTAATTTTTAAAATGACGATTTGTGTGGTACGTTTTTATTTTATACATGAATAACTGTATATTAACATTTTTATCTTCATAGTGTAGACTCGTTTTCATTAACAAGCCCTTTCTTATCACTAGTCACTGACATATTGATATATGATACGAGTCAAAGCCCACTTAGTAAACTATAGAGCTTGACTGTGTTGATGAAACTATAGGTACTTGCAATATATTCAAGATTTTCAAGAAAAATTCGATACGTATCTATACGGAATAGTTACGTACCGACTCGTATCGGAGTTCGAGTCCGACACGAGTCTGTACTCATCGCTTGTATATTGCACTTGTAACTTCTTGAACGCACAAAATTGACCCGATACGTATTCATACACTCCTAATTCTTTGAAAAACTTGATTATAAACATTGTGAAATTATCAATTTGAAGTATGGGAAATAAATCGATTCAGATTAAATATTGATAGTAATTGGCAGAAGTACGTTATAATAATTACATTTTACGAGTTTTTCGTCAAGTTACAGTTTCCAAATTCACAATTATCATTCAATAATACCGACTTCCGGAATCGCGAAACGCGCGTCGTTCGAGTACAACATCTGTTTGTGATGTATCTCTGGATGCGATAATGAGAGATAACGATAACACGTCGAACCACGTGTAATGTAAAAACAAAAACAATTTTTAACACGTAATTTTATAACGCGAATCACGTCGATAATTATTATCGTTATGTTAGCAATAGTGAATTGGTCGGAGTTCATTTTGTTAAAAATATATCGAAAAAACGAGATAAAGAATTTAGGTAAAAAGTAACTGTTATACTTCACTGTAAATCGATCAAATATATTTGATACCAAATTGTTATTGTGTATATTAAACAGTTTTATTTGCTGTCGGAGGATGGAAAATTCCTAAATACGACACTGTTTTTAAATTCTTGTATTATTTTCTTGGTACAAACCCGAAAAAATAAAATATGTCAACGAAATATTGGAAATCACAAATACTATTTATTAGTTATGCATGCTACTAATTAGTTAGGTAGTGTAGGTGTCTTTACACTTTATCGTGTCGTCCATATTTTAATACGCCGTGTTAAAAGCTTTTTTTTTGATTGGCTGTATGCTAGCTTTGCTTATCTCCTTAGTATACCATGTTACCCTAAAGTTGAAAATTTTCATATATTCTATTCGTCGACATCTGGTTATAGTGATCAAAGGAAAAATAGTTATAAATTTATTACTACTGTCTACTGATAAAATGTTTAAAATACTAAAGGTTAGCCTTTAGGTTAGCTAACCTTTATCCAAGTTCTAAATATGTTTACTGAGATAATGTGATAAAACTACGGACGACAGAATAGTGTTAAGAAACTAACCATAACTCATAAAGCAATCTTTGTGTATACTGGTAAATACTGGTAACTGAAATACGTAACAGTGGTAGTTGATAACAATACAACTGACTACACTGACTGCCGCCAAACTGTTTCATAAATCATAATCAATTACAATTAATTTAAGGGGTCACACAACAGCCAAAATGTATGGTGATTCTTATAAGCCGTACAATTTTACCTTGTAAATTTACCGTACTCTCATCTCGATTAAAAAATGCGCTCGAAATCGATATTCATACGTGTATGTATAGTTTTAATATTTTATCGTTATAACTACGTCGTCGTAGTCGTAATTTCAAATCTCTCTTTGGCCGCCGCCGTCGCCACACGCGTAAAAAATACGATCGCGTTTTTTTATTCGCGTGAGTGTCGGTCTCGTTTTTCTTTTCGCGTCCGCGTGTCGCGAACGCCGCGCGCTCGTTCCACTCGTCGGTATACTTATTTCCTCACCACCACCATTACCACCGGGACGACGCGTATCATAGTTGTAATAATAATAATAATAATAATAATAATAATAATTTACAATAATAAAAATAATAATGCGGTGACGGTAATAATACTCGTGCTATAGAGGTAGTACTCTCGCATATAGAAGTAGTAATAGTAGGCGGCGGCGTGTTTTTCCCCGCTTTCTCCTCCCCCGCCGCCGTCGTCCGGTACATGCAGCGCTAGTGCGACCGCCGGTGCCACCGCGTGCCTCACCTCACCCGTGTTGCGTACCACACACACCACACACGGACGCGCCGCGCGCCAGTTGCGTCTGCACAAACAACCGCCGTACTCGTCGGACGAACGTTGTGCGTCGTGTCGTCTCCGCTGCGTACGCTCTAACAAACGCTATCCTGGTTTCGCTATTATTATTATTATGGTTGTTGTAGTCGTGTGTGTGTGAGTGAGCGTAGCGTCGAGCCCGATCGCGCGCGCGCGTCGTGAGTGAGAGTGCGAGCGAGAACGACTGAGTGCTAGTGACGTCGGTGCGAGCGCGAGCGACGCCGACCGCTGCGAGTGCGCGCGCCGTATAGAACGCGGTCGTACGAAAATGGCGTCATCGTCGCGCGACAGCGAGCCCGGGAAAACTATGTCGTCGCACCACCACAAATATTCGTCGAGAATCGTGAGTAAAACTCGCACCGCTGCCGCGTTTCGGGGGGGGGGGGAGAGGGTGTCCGCTTGGCGGAGTGCGCTTGCCCAAGTATAAAATATTCGCGCCGAAATTTCAATACCGAATAGAGAATTTTGTTCTTCACCGCCTCGACGATGATATTATTATTATTTACATGCCGCGTCGAAAAACCTCTTTCATAATAGGTAGGTTGTTTTCGATCTGTTTTTCTTTCGTCCCGCCCTGACGACGCGTCGCTGGTTATCATATTTTATATATCATCGTCGAACCCGGACCTTGTAGCACGTTAGGCGGACGTGGGTCTCTTCGCTACTGCGAAATAATTACGTTATGTTGATGATTCTAAGCTATTTTCACGGTGACACTGCATTTTGTAATTTCCATAGTAATTTCCGTTCAATCCGTTGCTCCCTGTTCGTTGTATATTATGGGCATTACGCGATGTCGCCGTCCACACACACCTGTTCATCATGGTTTAATTTCTTAATAAGTGCGCGCGTCCACACCCATCATTATACAGTATTATATATAGTCGTATTCCCTATTATTGTAGTTATCGGTATATTGTTTTTCATTTTCATCCCGTCCTCGTCTAGTAGATATATTATATAATATTTCTGTAACGGATAGAATTACGTCAAAATAGTAAAATATTTACCCATCTCTAAAAACTGTCTCTTGGCTGTATATAATATACGTATAAAACGTTTTCACGTAAAATGTAATAACCAATAACGATAAATTATTATTTAGCGAATCAAACTGTTTTCTACAATGTCATATTTAACAGTGAAATTCGAGTTTGTATCTGTATGATCAGACCGCGTGCATTCAGCAGCAGTGTGTGTAACACCAGTTATTGGTCTTAGTTTTAGGAGCCGGTTTTACGGCTTCTTTGTATCTCCCCCGATTGAGGCTGTGAAACACATTTTTGGGTTTCGAAAGTGTTGTGAAAACGCATTGTTATTTAAATCTTGTAATTGTATTTACCCATGGAGTCTGTAACAATAATCTTATAATATGTCTTATGTTTTGATCCCTAGAGCTCCAAAAGTAACCGAATTGTGGTGAAGTGCGATCTTAATCATACCTAAATAATATCATTACTACTATGTTGATGAATTTGAATGTATCAAGCAATGTATAACTAACATAAACTTAACTGATTGGATCAAGTTTAAACAAATATCATTGCAACATTAAAAAAAACTGATGGTTTCGCTAACACTACTCCAGAACATTTCGTTCGAATGAGTTGAGTTTGATAGTAGCCTTTAGACATAACAATAGAAATAAAATTAAGTGTTGAATTATATTGTGGTTAAGTGTGGTCTCAATCATAAATATCATTACTACTATGTTGACAAGTTCAATTGTATCAAGCAATGTATTATTAAACATAAACTTAACTGATTGGATCAAGTTTAAACAAAAATCATTGCAACATTAAAAAAAACTGATGGTTTCGCTAACACTACTCCAGAACATTTCGTTCGAATGAGTTGAGTTTGATAGTAGCCTTTAGACATAACAATCGAAATAAAATTAAGTGGTGAATTTGTTGTAGTCCATGTTGTCAGCCCCATCATATTTATACTATTATTATCATTTTTATACTATGGTTGTGAGTTTGTGACTAAATTGTGTTAAACTTTAAAACAATATTTTATATCACGCCGTTCCCCTTAGATTTAAACTGAATTATATGCTTTGAAGAAGTGAAATAATTTTTGTACATTGCTGCTGTCCCCAATGGCATTTTGATGCTCGTATAGTTATATTATAATTTATAGTATTGCCCAGTATAAAAGGTTAGCGTACACTGTGCTGACTGGAGTCCGAAACGAAAATCTTGGAAAATATATTATAATAAATGAATATTAAATATCTTGGGAACTAAAATTAAATTACCGAATTGTGGGTTAAGCTCACGCTTCACCATAATATCATTAAATGACCATCGTTGACGAATTGTAGCACGCAAGATCTTGTAAACTTACACTTGACAGATGGTGTCAAGTTTAAACAAAGATCATTGCAACATAAAAACAACTGATGGTTTCGCTAACACTACTCCAGAACATTACGTTCGAATGAGTTGAGTTTGATAGTAGCCTTTAGACAAAAAATTGAATTTAAATTTACTGATGAATTATCTAGTCTATGTTGTTTACAACCTCGTAACATTTAACCCTATAATAATAATTTGTATGTTATGGTTTTCAGTCATATCTCAAATTCATAATCTAACGTTAAAACAACTTTTTATATCACGCCCTCCACACACATAGTTAAAACAATACATAACAATAATATACTCTGAATTTCATACAACCCAACCAGTAGAGATTTCTGCTACTAGTATTCCCATATAGTTAAAGTCTCGCGTGGACGTATATTGTATTTAAACAACCTGTGTTTACTGTACAGGGAGCGTATATATATATTGTATTGTGCCGACAAACGACGAATCCGTCACGCAAGATTTCTGTTCTCATTGGTTCTATTTTAAATATATTTAAATTTAAATTAAAAAAAGCGAAATGAACTCAAACACACGAAGATGATGTTCCTACTACATACATTGCGCTACCGTAACAAAACTTCGCGATTATCCGTCGTGAAATCTCGCTTGCACTTCTCCGCTCGTCGTGTACCTAACACCGTTCGTGCAAACCAAATAAATATTAAAATATCATAGTACAATTATAAATACCTTATTTATGTTTTGTTCGAGATTGTTTAAGGCGTCGTAAAGTAGTATGTTTTACGTAGTAATTATTGTGCACGGGTGCAGGTGGACCACGGATATAAAAAAAACTGCCAGTCGGTCGCGTACAACATTTCAAATTGTTAAACATTATCACACGACAACACATAATACGTCGAGAGTAATCTTACGCTTTTTCCGTTGTGCGATTTTTTAGTTAGATTTTTCGTTTGTTCACGAGCCAGACACGGTGAGAGACTTTTCCGCCGCCGCCGCGCGCGCTCTCTGCTGCAGTCGCGTCCACCGGTATGTGTGGGTGTGTGTGTGTGGCAGTCCGCGTGGAACGCGGCGGCTCACATGACGTGGTCTGTCGTTCTCATCTGCGATTTTAGCCGTGACGAGTGAAATAATGCCGCGCACGTCACGTCGCATTATGGCAATGACTGAAGTCGAGACACCGCCGTCGTCGATGGGGTCGTTATGAATCTTCGCTTGTTGTTGATCGAAATCTATTATATTATCCGATCACCAGCCTACTCCCCAGCCCTAAAAATCGATGGGTTTTAGTTGTCGTGTATCCACTACGACGACGGACCGACCGGCAATAAAAACAATCCACATGATATTCGTTTTTGACCTTCATCGGGTTTGAGTTAAATGATTTATCTATTTTACACGATATCGATTACGATTCGATTTTTGTCTGTCTCACGTCCGGCCGATCGTATTATCCGACATTTTTTTGTTTGTTTTAACGCACATTTGAATCACATTTAATTATATTACAATGAAATAATATAATATAACGGTCCGTAGGTGGGTGATCGTCGACGTTTTCTGTCGCGTCATATTGTGTCCACGCTGTCGTGTGTTTTTGGTCGTTGTTCGAACCACAACAGTTGTTTGGCAATCTCGATGAATGATTTTAAATTCTTCAACCGGCGTGGGATTCGTGAGCTTCGGAAATTTTATCCGTGCGCAACAGTTGTAGTAACTGGTGTCGTCCACTCGTTACTTAATTATTATTTTGATAGGTATAGGTACTTTTCGTTTTTTAAACTCTTATCGGCTGCGATGTCATTTGCAAATTTTGTACCCCGGTGTTTTTCGATGATGCTAACGGGCGTTATTTGTGTATTATACGCGTCGTCAGATTATTATCTTTTAAACGTGTTTACAACGCGCCAAATTCCGATCAGAACACCGAACATCAATTTTACGGGGCCACCACTGTTGGCAATAAGTCGAACCAAGTGACCCTATTTACCTTTATTTTTTTGCCATCAATTTTTGTACATACCTAAACAGCTATCTGTATCACGGGCACCTTCTATTTCTAAACTTTGATTTAACATTTAATATGTTACCTACAACGATTGGTTTCGATCATCTGAAGATTTTTAAAAATAGTATTAAGTAGAGAGGGTATAATGGTGGTTAAAAAGTGTTCATACTAAAGTATTATATCTAATATTAACGTCACTGAATCGGAGAACGGAGACCATATTTGTGCAATTTACTTGTTTATGTTACATATCATCAATGGTGTTCCGTTTTTACAAAAATCTTATAATTGTTATTATTATAATATTAATCATAAATAAATAAAAACATTGTACCCTAACAACAGTATAAACTGTATACTTTCATTATTAATGTTGGTACATGCAAAATAATATGTTCTATTGTATGCAATAGGCATAATATTCAATCTTCTAAAGATAAGAGAGTGTAATAAATTGGCTTTTTCATCAAACATTGCTCCTAGTATATATTTTATTTAGAGATCATAGTTTACTTTTTGCTATATTCATATATTCTATATATTTTTTTCTGGCTTTGTCAATTGTTCTTATAAAAAAAGATACAATACATTTACAATAAATACGGCTTGAATTGAACGCTTTCAAGGAAAAAATATTTTAAACATGCATAAACATTAGATAATCGTAATTTTACATGAAATTTAGAAATTCAAAACTACGCTTTCTTCACACAATTATCAAATATTAAATTTCAATAAAGATATAGGTGTTCTTCTATATTTAATAAATAACAATAATTGTATGTATAAGTAATATTTTTCTATACGATATTATTTGGAGTCATCAACAGCAAGAACGATTGATGACAACAGCAATCTAAAAATAATATTAACTATTAAGATTAAACGTAAAATAAAACATTTGGGTTTTAAAGATCGGCGTTTATCCATAAAAATCCAACAGTATTTAACTATTTGTCTAATATTTCAAATTAAATAATTTTAATTTTTAATTCATGTGGATTACAGAGAACACGCAAAGAAAAGAAAACATATTCAGAAGACTGGGCATATGGCGACGAAGAAGAAATTGAAGGTGTACGATCCTTTAGTTTACAAGAAAAGCTTGACTCCACACGTTATTTAAATCACAACTTTACTAAACAGATGGATGGAAAAGGTATAATTTTTACAGTACAAATAAATAATACACACTTATTTTATTTTTTCAATATTTTATTGTTTTAGACTTTACAATTTCATACCTTCAAAAACATGGTTTCATAATACCATTATTATTTAAGGATAAAACTGGTCTTGGATTACATGTCCCAAGCCCTAATTTTTCTGTGAATGACGTTCGCACATGTGTTGGTAAGTATAATTAAATTAATAGTTTTAGATTATCGTAGTTTGAGTCACGAAAAAAATTGTTCATGATTTTTTTATTAAATCATGTAAAATTATGTATCTTTATATTATGCAACTACTACACGCTGAAACTATCAAATATGTTGGTATATTTGATTTTGATATAGGTACTTAAAAAAATTTTAAAGGGTTGATTTTTTAAAGGCTGGATCAGGAACAAATAATCACTTAAAACTGGCCAAAAGCAAGACAGAACTGTGGAACTTAATTTGACGGATTTTAATTTTGAAAACTAATTGAAAATCTTCAATAACTCTGCTATAGCATGCCCGTGGGAATTGTCTTTATCGAAACAATTAATGGCGTACTTAAATATATAAAATAACACAATTTTTATTCTTTAAATTGTTGATATTTTATTGAAGAATTTGAATTAATAAAATCTCCTCAGCCATTCACTAACCACCACAACGACTAATTATTTATAGCCATTTTCAAAATTAAAATCCGTCGAATCCAAGTCCCTTAATTTTGTCATTTGAATGTATATTTGATAAAATCTGTGTAGTTGACTTGGGTCTGCGCATGCGGAAATTTATATGCTGGCGGTGAGCCATCGGTGCCCGATACTCGATAACAAATTTTACAAACTACACATAATAGTAGCACAACTCAAATATATATGGTATATGAAATGCCTAAGTATTACTCCTTAAAACGTGTCCCTCAATAGCCCACTTAATTCAATTATTAAAATATTCAAAAATTTGAAACGAAAATTGAGTTTTAACAATTTTTTTTGTTAAACATTCTTACCCTTTTATATTTTACTATAATTAATTTACTTTTTTATTTAGGTTCGAGAAGAATGTTAGATGTAATGGATGTTAACACACAAAAGAATTTTGAAATGACTATGAAAGAATGGACTAAGTATTATGAAGAGCCAGTGAAAGATAAACTTCTAAATGTGATTTCACTTGAATTCAGTCACACAAAGCTAGAAAACTACATTAAGCGTCCAAATATTGTAAATATTACTTCATATTATCAGCTACTTATTTATTTTAAAAACAACCATTTATAATGCTGAAAGTTATTACTTTGTTAACTTATATTCAAATTGTGTTCAAAATATGAAAGCGATTTATGAGAATTCTTTTATTTTATAAATGTGCTATTGTTGTACTAACTATGCATAATAAACCTACATTCAATTATAAATAGGGTTTTTTTATACGTAGGTTCGAGAATTGGATTGGGTGGATTGTGTTTGGCCTAAACATTTAAAAGAGAGTCAAACAGAATCAACAAATGTCATAGATGATATGATGTATCCGAAAGTTCAAAAGTATTGTTTGATGTCTGTTAAAGGCTGTTATACTGATTTTCATATTGATTTTGGTGGCACATCCGTTTGGTATCATATACTTAAAGGAAGCAAGGTAAACATTTTCAATTTTTTATTTATCAAATAAATGATTAATTATTATTAATTTTAGGTTTTTTGGTTAATACCACCAACCGAACAAAACATAAAACTGTATGAACAATGGATACTATCTGGTAAACAAGGTGACATATTTTTTGGAGATACAGTTGAACAATGTGGACGAGTATCATTGAATGCTGGGGATACATTCTTCATACCTACTGGTTGGATTCATGCCGTTTATACTCCCAAAGACTCATTAGTATTCGGAGGCAATTTTTTGCACTCTTTTGGTATTGAAAAACAGCTTCGTGTTGCAGAAGTAGAAGAATCCACCAAGGTTAGTACATCAAAATGTGTACTAATTTATTGAGACTAATAAAAAATATTTTTAGGTACCTCAAAAGTTTAGATATCCATTTTTTACTGAAATGCTTTGGTATGTTCTGGAGCGTTATGTGTATTGTGATTTAGGTAAATCTCATCTTTCAGAAGGTGTTGAGACTTCACCTTCACCAGTTGAGCATATACATTTCACTAAACAGGTAAAATACCGAAATGCAAAGATAATAACAAACAGATTTTAATGGCTGCTTTTAATATTCGTCCAGGAGCTTCATGGCATAAAAGCAATAGTAAAATATCTGCATATTTTGCCTCCAAATAAAAAAAATGTTCCTCCTCTGATCAAAGATGCTATTGAGTTGATAAGAAATGTGGCGATTGTGATAAATAAACATAAGAATGATATACCTGAATATGCTATAAGTGGAAAGCCGATTCTTAAAATTCAAGGAGACAAGGTATAATATTAATAATAATAACTATTAATACGAAAGTTGAAAGAAGAAAATGTTAATTAAAATTTTGTTGCCATATAATATTATAACAATGCTTTTTATTTTTTTCAGGAAAGGGAAAGGAGGTTTTACAAGACAGCTGGTGATATGAACGCCAAAGTAAAAATTTCACGAAAAACAGCTTCTGGCACAGGAGGGCCCAGAAGAAGACGCACAAGATGTAAAAAATGTGAAGCTTGTAAACAAGCAGATTGTGGAGAATGTTCATTTTGCAGAGACATGGTTAAGTTTGGTGGACCTGGTCGTGCTAAACAAACTTGTGTGATGCGTCAATGCTTGCAGGTACTATATTAAATAAAATAATATTATTAATATTCAGGATCTGAATCTAGTACTTTTTAATGTTATAGCCCATGTTACCAATAACTGCTGCTTGCGGAATTTGTTCATTAGACGGCTGGGGTCAACAAATTATTATTCCTATACAGAAAGCCGCCAAAGATACTCCTAGTCAACTTATGGAGTGTAGTGTGTGCTTTGAAATTGTACATCCTGATTGCTTATTAAAACAAGTAAAAACATAATAATTATTACAACTACTTTTCAGAATTCAGATTATTAACTAAAATTATAAATTGCATTCTTTTCAGCCTATATATACTAATAATGGTACTTATAATGAAGATCTACCTAATAGCTGGGAGTGTCCCAAATGTTGTAAAGAAGGGAAGGAAAGCAAGGTAAGTAAAATTATAGAATTTAATTTTAATTACATTGTAATTGATTTCAAATTTGTGAATATTTTAAAATTTTTAATACATTTTTTCTGTTGTAGCCTCGTCATTTTCGTGCTAGACAAAAATCGTCAGATATCCGTAGAACTTCTGTCAGTAGCAACGACACTAATCCGCAAAAACGTTTTAAAGTAAGCAGAAATGATCATTTTTAAATTTAGAATTATTTTACTCATATAGAAAACAATTAATTTTAGGATGAAGAAGAATACAGTGATACAAATTCTGAAAGTGATGCAGACAACGTTTCTAATAAAAGACTGAAAATTGAGAAAAAAGAAAACTTATCCACAGAACGATCACCACCTTTGCCATCAACGGTAAATATATTTTTCTCCATTCACTATAATACACAGCTTTTTAAATATATTTTTTATTAGCAGATCATACATTGTTACTGTATATTGGTATTGCATTTTTTTTTTTTTAGTTAAGAAAGCATGTTCTTTTAACAAATAAAACTAATGTAATATAAATTATAAGTTAAATAAAATATCTTAACAAAACTGGTAAAAACCTAACAATATGTAATATACAAATTTGTAAATAAAATATCTTCTATATTAATGTGATTTAATATGAATTAAATGTATTATTAGTTTTAAAATGAGATATTAAAATTAATTTTTTAAGTAATACATAAATAAATATAATAACGTCATTAAATTTTGTTTAAAAAAAAATACATTTTAGATAAAATTATGGATACTACTACCTTGATTGGAAATAAAATGGTATGATGATAAATGCTAATAATAAAAATGATAATAGTCTTGTAAGTTCACCTACAACTCAATGCTACCTATCAAAATCTATTGCATGCTTGTGTGCTACCTATCAAAATCTATTGCATGCTTGTGTGCTACCTAGTACCTACCAATCATTTTTAAGGTCATTTTTGTTGATGCAATATACTTTTTAATGCTGATAATATATACTGCAATATATTATTTGGTATTATCAAATTATTACAATTCCTATTTTGTTAGGTATATTGTTTGTAGGTCATGACCAAAAACTTCTAAGATATATTTTTTAAATGTTTTAACTTTTAACTGAATGCCACCTATTTAACTAATCCTCTTAGATATGAAATATTTATCTTATGTTTTTTTTACCAAACTTAATGTAATATCTAAAAACAAAATTATTTTGGATTACACAATTATTAGTCTTAAAATAAAATACTATGTCAAAATGACTTTTCATTTTTTTTATTACAATGTTAAATTGTTAAAAAAAATTGTTACATTTTAAATAAAAGTTAGTTTAGGTTGGTATAAACAGTTTTACTAACTTTTACAATTGTACAAAACACATTATACTCAAATATTTTTATAATTTTCATGAAATTGGTATTAGTTAGTAAATTATTGATTTCTGTAGCGGAACTAAGGATGCCTACCTATCTAACCACATTTTAATCAACTGTGCTATAGATATAACAATGAACAGTAAACACATTATGAACAAAAGATATAATATTATTAATATTTTGAATTATTTCCCTCCTGATGTAATATTATATTATTTGACTTTCAACCTGAGTAAATAAATGTTATTAAACTGGTGCACGTAATTTTTACTAAAATATTTTGTTCTTCTATTTACACTACAAGGCTAGAGTTTTACTTACCAACTGGTGTTCATCTGGCTGTGCAGATATTTAAAATAACGCTTCAATAATTTCACCATTGGTAGACACTCCTTCAAAATTGTTGTGTTGTTTTATAAACTAGTAGTTTTCACTGCTTGTGTGTGTTGTAATATTAAATGGATACTGACCAGGTATAAATAAAATATTGTATGATTTTTTTTTAGTTTTTTATTGCTTAAACTTTTTTATGAGTTAATTAATTGTCATTTTGTTTGAAACATTATTATTTTAATCTTAATTTTATATTGATTTATTTATTTATTCCAAATATTCCTCTAATTATTTATACAATTAATTGTGCAGTTTATTTTAATTTTAAATTCTGTGCAAAACAAAGCATCTACTTGTTTTCAAAGATATATTTTATGTATTAACATTATTAATGATTCTGATAAAATACGATTATCATAAGCAGTCTGTATTTAGACATATCTTGGTTTATAAAATAAGATTCTTGATTCTATGTGTTCAATAGTGCATAAAAGTAGAGACAAGCAGATTTACAAAAGTAAGGTGAAATAATATATCCTAATTAGTTTCAGTTATTTTAGTAATTAAAATAATCATTCTACAATTTTACAAAATTAATTTGTCACTATAGAATTTTGAAAATAAATTACATAATTAAACTCTTATTACCTGGAAATTTAATCTCAAGTCCAGAAATATTGTAGTATATAATCTTGTGTTATGATTTTGTATTTGGCGTTTACTAATATTTGACTTCTTATTTCAAATAACATATCATTTAGTATAATCACTGTTACATTCATTCATTAATTACTATGTTTAAGTCATTAACATCAATTATTTTTGAGTTCCTTAAAAGTTAAAACCATATAAACCGTACTCTGCTCGGAATATTATTTCAATTGTGATTGGTCATCATCATTGTTCTTAAACTTACAATATTAACTCTACACTATCGTCCACCAAATTAAGTTAAAAAGCATTTCTATATGTAACACGTGTCCTGATTTTTTTATGAACACTGGTGATTACATGGTTAACAATTATTGTAATCCTATACTTGTGATTTTATGTACTCTAAATTCAAACTATGTATTTTTTGTGTTTACTATTTACATTACCATGGCCCAGTTTTTCCATTTAATAGTATTTAAATTGTTCACATTTTATAGTTATTAATTTATTTAATTTAGGAATCTTTGAATTTTTTTAAGTTATATGAGCTTATGAATTACATTTATATAAACATATATATATATTCAGCATATTTTTTGGAAATGCTAATTAATTTTATTGTTTCCTTTAAAATGTTATATGATGTTTATTCTTCCTTTAATTATTGACTAATACATTTTAAAATAATATAAACCATTTTCGTCGTTTTCACCTTTATTAATGTTATATTTTATCACCAAAACGTCTTGTGCATGATTAACAATAGCTTGGTTTCTTGAATGTGTGTTTTCTACTATTCAGTTTGGTTATAATATAATATAATATAATGTAATTTCATTAATACACAACAAGAGGAAAACAAAATTACTGTCTATTTAATATATTTTAACTTAATTTTTTGTCATGCTATTGAACTATTTTATGCCTTATCCATTTTGGATCGTTAACGGGTTTTAATATGAACTTATGCACTAGCAAAATTGTGCACGACATTATTACATTTTCAATTTAAGTCGTTGGAAGAGGACGAATATTACAAGTAAGTCAGAAAGCTCGCGCGAACTATCACTTATGATTTATGATTAAACGAGATATTGCGCGGTAATGGTTATCAAGTTTGGTGCGTAAAATCGATCAAAATCGTGCTTTTTTTTAACGAGCGTTTGGTGTATAAAGTTCAAATGCCATACTTACAGGAGGTATTGTTGTACGTTGACTTGTGTTATGAATTTTGTGTTTTTTTTCGCGTTCGTTATAAAATCGTTTAATTTATTGAAAATCTAAGTTTTTCGAAACGATTTTAAGGACGTGTAGTCGTCGCGTGTTTTCTAAATTAAAAAAAAATAACTGTCTTCGTTGTGTTTATTTTCTTCCCTATCGATATTTGACTAGACGTATCTATTATCAGACTTCTGTCACAACCGCCACTACTACCACCACCACGTACCGCGCGTAGAGTTTGCCGAGTCGTCGTTATAATAATATATATAATATAATATACAAACCGCTTTTGAATTTTCGGATTTCGAATTTTAACGAGTTCACTATATAGTCAATTTTTTTTAAAGTAAACACAATATTTCGTTTGATATTTTTTTATAGAGATGGATGGAAGAGCATTCTATGAAAATGTTAAATCGTTCTGTCAAAGTCGAGGAGGCCCACATGTCAACGTACAACAACACCACCACCACCACAACCACAACCACAACCACCAACATAACCGCCACTTCCACGCCCGCCGCCACCGTCGTCGCCACCCCGTCAATTGCGGAGCCGCCGCCAACTCCACCGCCACAGGCGTCGCGCAAGATCGATTTACGCAAGCAGCTGGCCAGCCAACTGTCTGGCGGCTCGGGCAAACACTGCAATGTGCTTAAGAAACAGTCTTATGTGTCGAAACCGGTCAAAAGTGGCGGCCATAAGTCTCAGTCTGGCGGACAGAAGTCTCAGGTCGGCGGGCAGTCTCAAGGCGGCGGGAACGTAAACGGCTACCAGCAGCACAACAATAACCATCACAATCACCACAACAACAGCAACAGTAACCACTGCGGGGACGCGGCGTGCATGCTGCCGGTGTTCGAGTACCTGACGCCCGCCGAGCTGGCAAAGTGCGCGTTGGTGTGCCGCGCCTGGTCCACGATGTCCATGGACCCGTCGCTGTGGCGCAAGCTGGACGTGACCGGCAAGCGGCTGACAGCGTCGTGTTTGGCTGGCGTGGTGAAGCGGCAACCCGAGGTGCTTCTGATGGACTGGACGGCAATCGCCAAGCGGCAGCTAGAGTGGATGATCGCCAAGCTGACACGACTCAAGGTTCTGTCGCTGCAGGGCTGCTCGTGGAGCGGTGTGACTGCGCTACGGAGCAGCAGTGTGGTGCCGCCGTCGTTGACCGAGCTCGATCTGAGTTACGTGACCGGCATGACGGACGCTTCGCTCCGCGACGTACTGTCACCGCCGTCCGACTCGCGGTCGTCGTCCAACGACAACACCAACCGGGCCCGGTTCCGGAACCTGCGCACACTGAAACTGGCCGGCGTGGACATTGGCGACGTGTCGCTCCGGTACGTGGTACAGTACGCGCCCAGCCTGGTCGAGCTGGACTTGTCGCAGAACTACCGGATCACTGACGCCGGGATCGCGCAGCTCACTACACCCGTCGGCAGTGCCGTGTCCACGCTCGAAGTGCTCGACCTGTCCGGTTGCGTGGCCGTCACTGACGCTTCGCTCGACCACCTGCACAAGTGCACTGCCCTCCGCCGGTTGGACTTGAAACAGACGCCCAAGATCACTTTGGTGGCCATCAACAAGTTCCTCGTGGCCAACGATCGGTTCTCGGCCACCGATACCCGACTGCTGATCAGGTCGCCCACACCTCCGTCGCCGACCACGTCGACCGGAAGACGCGATTCGACGGGCAGCAGTAGTTAAGAGTGCCGCGCGCAGGAGTTGTAGTGCGTCCGTCGATTTAGTCGTTACAATATTATTGTTAAGTGCGGATGTCGCGTCAACAGTGTGCGACCGTCGGAACCATCGCCGAGCGACAACTACGACAACGACGGACGAACGCTCCGGCATTAGTAGCAGTAATAATGTATAATTGTATATTTTTTACAGCGAGTTTTTTCTAATAATTATATATTATGTTGTCATTTTTTTTTCTTCCCAACACGCGAAAATGGGAAATTCATTTTGTTTTCCGTATGATATATATAAATGTATTCATGGTTTATTATTTTTTTTTTATTCCGGTATAGTATTACTCGGGTTGTACACGGACCCGGTCGTGCCGAGGTGTTTGGCCTGCCAAACTCGCGGTCGACCGGTCACGGGTTTGTAAGGAATTTTTTTTTACTTGGCTTACGTAATGGCTACGTATAGTATGTAAATACGACGTTTGTCGTCGAAAGACAATCTCTTCACGGGTTCATGCTCAGTTCATTTACAATATTATTCTACTTCCGACTAACGTAGACCTTTGGAATTTGTATTTTTTTTTCTACGTTCATCTAAACGTCATCACAATTTTACTTAATTATTATTTTTATTATTTATAAACCATAAAATTTGAAAAAAAAAAGACTGAAGTTTTGTTTGTATTACCGTTAGTTTTATAAGTATTATATTATATTATGCAATCAAACTCGTGTTGCGACTGTGTCCATGAAGGACACTAGTGAACCGACGGATGCAAGTTGGTTAAAAAACTAAGCAAAATTTATCAATATTCGACACTTTTTTAACGCCGTGTAACAGAGTGATGTTAGGTGTGTTTTTTTTTTGTATTTAAATTATAAAATTATCGGACTGTGTTTATTATTATTTTTTTTTTTGTATTATTGTATTATGAATAAACTATCCATGTGTATGAAATTTACTCGACATTTTTTTCTGTCCGTTCTCGTTTAATTACTTGTCTAAATATCGTTTGAAATAACTCTTAATCACGTTCTCCTACATCAATTCAAATACAGTCTTAAATCGTCCCTATATCCTACCATTAAACAGAACTCGCGTTAGGTAAATGCCTTATTTCTGTATTGGCTAGCACATAAATCTATTATATACGTAATTGGTGGTGGTTGTGTATAATATGTACATATATATATATATTAATGATTTAAAATTATTTCTCGTAGCATTTGCTCCAACCGTCAAACACGTGACTCCTAAATATAATATAGTCATGACACTGGATTTAGGAGTGTCCTTATATTTACAACTATAAACTCATCATTCTGATAAATTGATATCCTTAAACCGTGATCTCGGCGAAAACTATATTCGTAGTATAACTCGTAGGTTTTGAAGAGGGAAAAGGAATAGATAGAGTGAGCTTGGTGGCGTTGCGTTTCCATCGAAATTGATTATCAAATACTATTTTGGAATTAGAGAAGTCCGACTATCCGTTGATTGTGAATTGCCGCCGAATTATAGCTGAGAACTTTTTTAACTTTCGTCCAAAGTACGGTTTGGGGATACATGACGGTGGACGTTATCGATTCGTCTTTTCGTTGTCTGTACAAACGGCCAGTGAAATATCGACCAGAAAACGTTGGTTAGCTGTAATTAACACAATGTGTTTTTCTATTCTAAATATTCGGAATTAATTGGTCGCCAGTGTCTACGTGAAATGTTATGTTATGCTATATGAATTCGCGTTAAAAATGTATTTATAGACGTTATTGCGTTTTTTTTTATCCGATTTCCATTTATGCATTGGGGCGTAATGATGTATATCCCAAATAATGTATAAAAATATGTATCATCTTTCCCTCCCCTAATCAGTGTGAGTTAAACGTCAGTATAATAGTATAGTATACTTTGTACATGATCAATAGTGCCAAAAATGTAAAAAACAAATATAAGTTTCGCTGATATTTATATTTTATAATATATTAAGTACCCACCCGTATGAAAAATATTAAAAAACAATTATTGTTATTAAAATTTAAACGAAGTCCTGTATCAATAATCGTCACTACTAATTATTAGCTATTAAGATATACAATTATTAGAAATAATACATTTATGTAATCCACATGATTTATTTTATGATTAATTAATAAATCCTATGAAATATGATTCTTTAAAAATCAATCTAATATAGGTAAAATTATAAATAATGTCAATTTATAGTACCTAACATCATGACCCGAACATAGATTTGTGATTTTATACGATACTATTCATTTATTTCTTATCTCGTCTTTGGGCTTTTATCAACCACTGATGCATTTATACACCTTATATATTTATAGGTTTACCATTTCAGTATCAAGCTATATATTGTGTGCTACCTATACCTCTATTACAATGTAAAATATAAATTACATGGCACGTAATTTCTAAAGACATAATATATCTATCGTGAACAATTTATTAATTGTGTATTGTGCATGAATTTGACTAATATTTTGTGGCGGACTTGAACGTTTTTTTTTTTTAAGTAAACCCGATTACTTGCGGAATGCGCGGCGGTGGTGTTTAATATTATATCATGATAATAACGTCTGCAGATAATCTCCTAATCCGCGTTGGTGTCGTGTACGGTATTTATTGTTTTGTATTAACAATGCTCACACGCAATATGCTCGGTGATGTTAATTACACATTCTGTTTGTTGTCGAAATGCATTTGGACGGCGCGTATACATATATATATATATATATATATATAGAAGACAGTTAATCAACCCGATAAAGTCCGTCGCCCCGGTGACGGACGTCCGAACCAAAAAAATCGTGTCGCAGTGTTAGTTGTACGAGCGTGTTTTCGTTTTCTAGGAACCACCGCAGTCGTCTTCCTGCAAAACCGAACGGCAACAAGTGCCGGCCACCGTCGAACCCCCCTGCAGCACCGACAAGTCCGATTTCGAGAACAAAACGCCTCATAAAAAATTCGTAAGTCACCTCGCCGCCGAGCCAATATTATTAATATAATAATATACGACGATACCGTGTGTGTGTGTGTGTGTGTGTGTGTGTTTTGTTTGTATGTGTGCCGTCGTGCTAAATAATAATTCGGTTTTTTATGGTTGTTTTTTTTTTGCGCGCGCGCGCGATGCAGAGACGGAATCTGACGGAAGAGAGGAAACCCGCGAAATCCTCCGAACCCGGCACGAGCACCGGCAACCAGTCACCCATGGTGGCCACGGCCGCTGTGGCGCCGCCATCCCCGGAAGTGAAGTCGTCCGACGGCGACGGGTCGAAACAGACCGCCACCAAACGGCCGGCCGAGGTGAGTGTGTGGCTATGTAGACGACGACGCAGTGTGATCAATCCGACGGTGATATAAATAATATATGCTATCATTGAGTTTTGAGTATATATGTCTAGAAATTCGCTCGCTCAAAATCGCAGCGAATTGTTTGCACCGTAGTATCAGTGGCGCAACCGGAACTGTTTCGGTCCATATACTTGTCGTTCGAACGCGGAGAATTCGATTAATGAAAAAAATCTGCCTCATGCGTACCGGTAACAAATGCGATCCAGGGGGGGGGTCCGGACCCGGGACTCCCTCTCTAGCCGCCGGTTGTGCCACTGTATCGTTGACATGGTTCATCATCTCTGTTGGGGGTTAATTTGGGATAATTTTACACCTGTGGTCTGGACCACAGATATATTATATTACTTGAGATAGCGAACTCCTGTTATCAAGTGTTTCAAAGATCGAGACTGACAAAGTCGCCATTTTCTCGGGTAGCAAAATATAATAATATGTTAGGATGTTATGTGTTATTATATGTTAAGAACGGTTACGAGCAGTAAGCCGTTTTTTTTATAGCTCTTTTTTTGTGGAGGCTTTAAAAGCGATTGACTTTTTTAATTGTTATCTCCGTATAGAGAGTACCGAGTTCGTATGTCGCTTGTACCGTTGCCAAAATACGGCTACATCTGGTCAGGTCTAATTTTTTCTAAACAATTTTGTTTCTGTTAGTAACTTTGAATTTTTAATAAATATCGTATTACAAGACACGAGCTATCAGGTAATTTATTGAAAATACTGTTATTAATCTCGCAGGTAATTTTGAACTCTTAAAAGAGAACTTACTTCTTAACTTGTTATTTATACCTAGAACTATATTTAAAGTAGGTCATAATAGGTTTGAGAACAAAATTGCTTAGATGATAGTTAAACCATAAATTCAATTTTGTGTCATTGATTTGTAAACAATATTTTAACGTATTTAACGTACATTATAGGTACTGCAGCTAAATTAAAAGATATAATACTTAGGAAACTCAATAAATGAAATAAACTATGTTGTTGATTAAAATTTTATAGGCCTACTAAGATAGGAATATATAGATTGAATATAAATAAGATTATGTGAATACAAAGTATCAGTTTAATAAACGTAAATACACACTTTCATAGCAGTTTCATATAACACACCTAATTGTTGTTTTCGTGGAGATTTTGTTCGTTCCACAAACTTAGAGTATTTGAGTATAATATATGTGTTTAAGTCAATAAATATTTTTAATTTTCTTGATTTAGGTATTCGTAAATTAAATTACATTTAGTAATAACAATAATAATGAAAATATGAAATAATGTTTTTTTTACATGTAAATAAGTAGTTTCATTTCTAAATTATTATTTATATATACAAATAATGTTTTCTGTAAATTCAATATAATATTAATAAACTTATGAATACTGAGAAATAATTATTATATAATTAAATATTATAAAGTGCTTAAACGAAATTAAAATTATTAATATAAATAATCATTTTATATGCAATGTATAGTTAATACAGGTGTTGATAAGCGTGCGTCTGCCCAATATTTGTGGTTTGGAATGTTTGGACCAACGAATTTCTAGTACATTATTTTACAATATACCGTCCACGGTGTCCGCGGAAATAGGGTACACTTTATCACTCATTTCCATGCAAATCATGTTCAATTCTGTATGCCGGACATTAACTTGACTAAGGATTATACATTTCTATGACTTATAATTTTTTTAACTGATGTATTTTGCCCACTTTTTTAAAGTAGTAGTCCCTATTTTGAATACCATTTTTGGATTGATCGTTTTTTTCAAGTAATCCTGTAGAAGGAAAAAATACCTACAGTAAAAAAAAAAAAAAAATACATGTATCAAATTAATTTGTTTATTTTTTTAAAATCATACCTAACTTCAATTTTGCCAATTCGGGGTTTAGAATACAAGTTGATGGACCAAAATCACTCGACAAAAAAACGATCGATACGAAAATGATATCCAAATTAGGGGTTGCCATTATAAAAAAACGAAGTTGTGATGCGCGTGCGTAAAATACACGAATTGATAGAAATTGTAAGCGTAGACATTTATGATCCATTAGTCTAGTCGAATGCCCCGCAAACGGAATTCAAAACGATTTACAGGGCGACGAGTGTTCACCGTTACCGCGGGCACCACGTGGTATATGCTCAATGGTACTATTTATAATTGCCAATACGCGTCGGGAAATCGAAAATCCCGAGCCGAGCTAATTCAATGTGCGCGCTTTTCCGTTTTCAGCCGGCCGAGATGAACGTGATGGAAGCGTTCGACCGGAGCACCACCGTAAAACGGTCGTCGTCGCCGGTGGCGGCGGCGGCGGCGGCGCTCATCAAGATGGAGGCGGCCGAACGGCCTTTCGAGTCGGCCAACACGGTGGCCGACTCGGGCGTGATCGTCAAGCGGGAAAAGCTGTCGCCCATACGCATAGTGAGTATAGTAGTACCCCGCTTGTCCAGTGGCCGCTGCAAATAGTCGTCAATCGATGTGATGAAATTACGGTTAACCGTCTTGGTTCGTTCGCAGTCCGAGTACATACCCGACACGAAGGCGGCGGCTGCGGAACAACCGATCAACGGCGGTCCGGTGTCGGGCAGCGTCAAGATCGAGGAGGAGATCCGGACCAACGAGCCGATCGCCAACAACGCGGACGTGCCGATCGACGAGATACTGTCCAACTCGAAAAAGAGCAATCACATGCCCAAGTACGTGATTCGACCGGTGCCCAAGTTGGACACGGAGGAGGCGGACAAGGAGCCGCGGAGGCGGTGTTCCACGCTGGTGCACGTGTTCAAGTTCCTGTCGGCCGAAGACCTGAAGCACTGTTCGCTGGTGTGCAAAGACTGGTACACGGCCACCATCAGCCCAGTACTCTGGAACCGCATGGATCTCACCGAGACCGTCATCACCCCGAAACTGATCAAGTGTGAGTATAATGACGCATGACCGCCGAGTTATCATCACCATCGTAAATCGTAGTATTTCTTTGTTCGATTATTTTTATTTTTAAGATAGTTTTATCATCAGACACACTATGCCGATTTCACAATTTTCCCCTTAGATCACAAACCGAGTGTATATTCAACACTCCTCTTCGGCCATTTTCATTTCATCTACATATAACAACCGCGGTGTTCCTTTTTATGCAATATGGATTACTTCAAGATAGTATTGTAGCATTAAGATCTAAAATGATTATTTTTCTGATAATAATATGGTTTTACTATTGATCGTGTTCTTTTGTGATCATTGGCTGTTATGCGTGTGACGTGTACGCTAGACACCAATACATTTTTTTTTTTATATAAAATACAAAAAATGTAAAAATGTGACTATGGGAAT